AAAAAACTAGCCGGGTGTGGTAGCGTGTGCCTGTAGTTCCAGCTACTTGGAAGGCTGAGGTGGAAGCATCGCTGGAGCCCAGCAGGTCAAGGCTGTGGTGGCCATGAGTGTGCCACGGCACTCCAACCTGGGAGACGGAGTGAGACTCTGACTCAAAAAAAAAAAAAAAGAAACCGTAAAAGGCATATTAATGACCAAGATGCTTTAATTTCTGGGTGACTTACTTATTCTGGCAGAATGATACAGAACTTTGCCTCTTTTCTTTCTGGAAAGAGAGGACAGATCTTACTTAAACTTCTGACCTGGCCTCTCCACTGTATTGTAAGACCCCCTCAGCAAATCCTCCTAATGCTCAGGTCAAGTTCAAGCATCTCAGCATGGCCTGTAGGGCCTTCCACAGCAGCCAGCTCTCAGTTTCCCCCTCGCCGTTTACAATTTGGCAATACCAAGGTACGTGGGGTCTCCTGACTGCTCTCGCTGTTCCACGCCAATGGGCCCTTGTCCTACCTTGTGTCACCCCCTGCTATTCACCTGGTTGACTCCACACATCCCTGATGACTCACCTCAGCATCTCTTCTTTTAGGAAGGTGTCCCCTGGAACACCCAGGGCGTTGCCCTGATGGCATCACACAGCTCATATTCAGCGCACACAGTCCATATTTGGTGAGGAAAGAAGTGGGGGGAGGGGACTTTAGTTCATCCTTTAAAGGGGTTGTCTCCAGCAACCAAAATTCAAGACAGGAATAGCACTATACCACTCACCAGAAAATGGACCCCCCCCCCGCAAAAATACACTGTGAAGCAAAAGCAAAAGACTATGAAAAGAATGAAGATCAGAATAGCAATAAGACAGGAGAGCCATCCCTTAGATTGGTGCGGCTTCATGATTTATAAATGACTGTTGGACGTATTCATCTTTCCAGCCCGGTGAGGTGCATGCTAGGATGCTTATTGGACGGGTGAGGAGACAGATGCTCAGAGAAGGATCCATTTTACCCCAAGGGCCCCCAGGTGGAGAGTGACAAGAGTTTCTGGCTCCCAAATCGGACCCACCACTTCTCGGCTTGCCTAAAATGAGACAAATTGTAAGATATTAATAAGAATTTACTTTTACGATTCTATATACTTGCTACTCTATTTTAAAATATAGTTTGCTTAAATTATGCTATGCTAGTTAACGCTACCATTTCCAGACAGTAATCTGTTATTGGGTGCTACTTTCTTAATTTAGATGCCACTACTCAATCCTAACTTAGAATCGCTCCTTTTAATACCATCTATGCCTTCTAAGGTGCTCCGCCCTTCATTGCTTTGACATTTGAGAGTCTAAAATGTGTTCTATTCATTCCATTATGTGGATAGGACACCACCCTCAGAGAACTCCAGTGAAACCCATCATTTTTAAGAAACTGCATATATATTTGGGATTCTTACCTTGATGTTTGATATAGTTTGGATGGTGTCCTTCCAAATCTCATGTTGAAATGTGACTTCCAATGATGGAGGTGGGGCTTTGTGGGAGGTGATAGGGTCATGGAGGGCAGATCCCTCACGAGGGACTTGGTGCCATTTTTTTTTTTTTTTGAGTTGGAGCCTCACTCTGTCGCCCAGACTGGAGTGCAGCAGCTACTCCCGGCCACCGCAGCCTCGACCTGCTGGGCTCCAGCAATCCTTCCGCCTCTCCTTCCACCTCAGCCTTCCAAGTAGCCGGAATTACAGGCATGCGCTGCCATGCCTGGCTGATTTTTTGATTTATTGTAGAGATGAGGTCTCACTGCCCAGGTGGGTCTCGAACCTGCGAGCTCAGGCAATCCACTCACCTCAGCCTCCCAAAGGTGCGGGATTACAGGCTGAGCCACTGAGCCCGGCTGACTTGGTGCCATTTTTGAGGTAAGGAGTGAGTTTTCACTCTGTTAGTTCAAGGGAGACCTGGTTGTTTGAAAGATCTTGGCACCTTCTTCTCTCTTGATTATGTTCTCACCATGTGACATGCCCGCCCTCTCTCCGCCTTCTGCCATGAGTAAAAGCTTCCTGAGGCCTCACCAGAAGTCAAGAAGATGCCGGTTCTATGCAGAACCATGAACCAAAACAAACCTCTTTTTAAAATAAATTGCCCAGCCTCAGATATTTTTTTATAGCAACATAAAATGGACCAATACAAGGCTTTTTCTGTCTGCTTTGATAAACACCTCCTTAGTTACACTTGGCTGTTCACCTGGGACCTATATTAGAATGACCCCTTTCAGGATAAGGAAATGCTGTCAGTTGCTTTCTAAATACTCCAGTGTGTATTTCCTGTCTCCTCTTTCCACCCAAGGGAGTAATCGCTGTGTTCTAATCCGAAGGCATTCAGTAGTGACTAACCACCATATTATGTGTCAAATTACCAGGTCATCGTCAGGATATAAAGCTAGAAGACCCTCTTCATCCCATGAAAACTCTCCCATGGGGTGGAAGACACAGCTTAGTCCATGGGAGTAGAAGAACAATTAAACCGACAACCTCAAAACAGGGTGGTTGGTGCCAGGGACGTGGCCTGGTGAGGAGGAAGGTGTCACAAACCTCCCCGCCGGTTGCCAAGCACACTTTTCACCCTCTGCCCGTCCTCGCTCCCGGGTGACCTTTTTGACAGCATAAAGCTACCACAGAAATTGCTTTTAGTCGCTCACACCGTGTTCCTGACGATTTTGCCTGCTCGATTGGTTCCTTTTGACGGCCAGCATCCGTGACAGCTTTGCCTACATTTGCTTAAGCTGAAGATTCTGAGCGGAGGAAAGTTTGCACTTGAAAATCAGAGGCTCTGGCTTTCTCGTTGAGCTCCTCCCTGTTTGCTCCTCTCCCGAAATATACAAGAAAGTGATCGGGAGAGCTCACTGCAAGAGCCACACGCAGACGTGCGAGGAAGCTACACCCACAGGCCCCACAGCGCGTGGCTGGGCTGCCCGCGCGCCGTCATCCGGCCGCCGCCCGAGCTGCGGGAGCTTGGCCTGCGTCTCCATGGCGACGCGTCACAAAGGCCGCGCGCGCCTCCCGCGGCACCGAGTTCTGCCGGAGGCCCCCGCCCCCACCCCCGGGGCTGCCTCCCGGGGCAGAATGGCTCAGCCCGGGCCCGAGGCTCCGGACCCCGCTCTCTGCGGCCGCAGGTCCCCGCCAAGTAAGACCGCGGGGCGGGGCTGAAGTCTTTCCTGGGAGGGGGTCGCGTGGAGCAAAAACGGTCTTTAGGGGTGTTGCCTTTCTCTTAGGGATGGGCTCAACTGAGGAAGAGAGGCGGGGCGGTCAAGGGAGTCAGGGCTAGGTCAAGTTCACGGACGAGGTCAAGTTCATGACCTTGCCCCTTTCCAGCCCCTCTCATCCCCCCTGCCAAGCCCCGCTCCCTAAAATGAGCAGGGGCTTTAAACACTCCTGGAAATGCCTGGCTGGGAGGGGACAGGAGACAGGAAGGATGGGTGCTTTTCCAAGGAACACAGGGTCAAAGGCAAAGGAGCAACAGAGGTCAGGGCTTTTGCAAGAAACACAGGGCCAAAGGCAAACAGCGGTCAGGGCTTTTCCAAGGAACGCAGGGCCCAAGGCAAAAGAGGAATAGAGGTCAGGGAAGCTCGGAAGTGAACAAGCCAGCGGGAGTCCTGATCCCCAGGCAGGGTTTGGGAAACCGCACAGAATTTGGCAGTGGGCGCTGCGGATGCAGCACAAGCAGGACTGTAGAGGCAGGGGCCCTTCACAGGGCTGGGAGCTGCGGCTTTCAGCCGCTGCTTCTGATCTGGCTGGTTTTTCTTTCAAAGGGATTTCGCATTTAGCAGATATAGTGCTTTGCATCCAAGTTCCACAGGGAGATACAGCGGGTTGACCAGCTCAGCTGTTTTGGGCCTGGGAGGGAAAGCCACTCTAGCTGTGTCATAATGGCGTGATTACTGTGAGGTCCATGCCATCATTTCCATCATGGCCTCTCTCATGGCAATAATTGCCCATGGCTGCTGTCTGGTGGGTGATTGTGTTTCCATGGTGGCCACTGGAGCCACGAGGAACTTTTCAAGTGTAAAATACCCTAATATTGTGCTCCTCCAAGAATGACTTGCGTATTTGCATTCCAACCCATTATTTTGTAGGAGTAGAAAATGAAAATAATTAGTACAAAAAATATTGAATAGCTGTAGTTTCTTTTTTCTTTTCTTTTCCTTTTTTCTTTTCTTTTCCTTTTTTCTTTTTTCTTTTCTTTTTCTTTTCTTTTTGAGTCAGTCTCACTCTTTCGCCCAGGCTGGATTGCAAGTGGTCCACTCACAGCCACCGCCGCCTCGACTTGCTGGGCTCAGGTGATCCTGCTGCCTCAGCCTTCCAAGTAGTTGGGACTACAGCTGTGTGCCACCACCCCGGCTAATTTTTCTTGATTAATTGTAGAGAGGAGGTCTCACGAAGTTGCTCAGACTGGTCTTGAACCCCTGGGCTCAAGCAATCCTCTTGCCTCTGCCTCCCAAAGTACTGAGATTACAGGCATGAGCCATCCCGCCCGGCTGAATATATTTAGTTTCTATATGCAGGCAAGGCAAGCAAAAGAGACAGAGGAGGGAAAAGCTCTTTTTGATGCTCTTCTTCCCTTTCTAACCATCTGTCTTATTTTTTCCATCGTCTTCTCTACCTGTATCTTGTCTGGAAGTGCTGGAGTTCTCCAAGATTTATCCTTCAGGGCATGCGTTCTCTATTCAAGGGACCCCCATTCTGCTACATAAAGGTGCCAATGACTCTCCAAACTTTATCTCTAATTTGGACTTTCCTCCTCATTTTCAAACTAGAATATCCAGCTCTCTACAAGACAGTTCCACGTGGGTGTCACAGCAGGGCTTCCAACTCAGCATGTGCAAAATGACACTGCTTGTCCTCCTTGAAACTTCCAGACTTTGAAAGCTTAGTTAGGAGGGTCCCAGCTGCTTAAACTAGAAGGCTGGGTGCTCCTTTGAGACCAAAGCATGATTCCCAGGTCTCTTTGATTCTGCCGCCAAAACTCTTCCCCTGGGTGAGTTTCACTCTTCACTTCAGACCTGGGTCTCTAATTGCCGCTCTGTGCCACTCCATCCCCCATGGCTGGGAGAGTCACCCTCCAAAGGGTGGGCTTGATGTGCCATTGCCCAGCTTTGGTCCAACTAGGATGAGGTTGATGCTGACCGTAATGACGAACTAACTGCTTTGAACAACAACTATGGATGGGGCTCTTAGATGCTGTGTTAGTTTCCTGTGGCTGCTATAAATGACCACAAACAGGTAGCTTCACACAACAGAAATTTATTTCCGGGCAACGCTGTGGGTTGGGGTCTAAATCAAGGTCTGGGCAAGGCTGTACTCCCTTTGGCGACCCTAGAGGAGAACCTTCCTTGCCTCGTCCAGCTTCTGGTGGCTGTCAGCAGTGTTGACTTGTGGCCACATTTGCTCTGGTCTCTGCCTCCAGATCGTATCGCCGCCTTCTCTTCTGTCTGTGTCAAATCTCCCTCTGTCTCTCATAAAGACACTTGTCATTGCAGTTAGGGTCCACCAGGATAATCCTCATTTCAAGATCCTTAATTGCATGTACAAGAATCCTTTCCCAAATAATGTCAGATTCACAGATTCTGGGGATTAGGACGTAGACATATCTTTTGGGGACCACCATTCAGTACACTGCAAGCACTTATCATTGCCTTTAATCCTCAAAATAACATGAGATTAGACAGCCAAGTACCGTGGCTCATGTCTATAATTTCAGCACTTTGGGAGGCCAAGGTGGGAGGATTGAGCCTAAGAGTTCAAGACCAGCCTAGGCAACATAGCTAGACTTTATCTCTACAAAGATAAAAAATCAACATGAGATTAGGATGATTAGAAACCTTTTGCACCTGATTAACCTATTGGGTTATTTTGAGAATAAAGCAAATTAATATATGTGAAAATACTTTGGAAGTGTACTATACCATACATGATAGCTACTATTTTATAATGCTTTCAAAGCTTTATAATATGTGTTCATTATCATGAACTTGGGCAGTGGCTTGCCAAGGTTATCAGAATAAGGCTTAAGGGCAGCACAGGACACCCTTGAGACCTGTCCTGAGCCATTTCTCTGGACACATAAGATCTTGCGACCTGTCCTGAGCCATTTCTCTCTTTGTCTCGCTCACATTGGGCCATTTGTCATGTGTTGACCACTCATACCTCTTGCTACTTCCTTTGTAAACTGCTTTACTTTGTGTCCTGTAGTTTTTCCTTGTCAAACATCCACTATATTAAACCCTAGCTCAGATGCCACCAACGCTATGAAGTTCCCCCTGGACCTGCCCTTGCTGTCCCCGCTTTTCATCCGAGTAGAAAGAATCGCACCATCCTCAGGGTTCCTGTGACACAAAGGACATCAGCACCATTTAAAACTTGTGCTCCTAGGTCACATAGCTCCTCCACTGGCCTGAGGGTTTTCCAAGGCCCGGACAGGGCTCTATGTCCCAGTGCCTAGCACAGGGCTTGGTCTTTGAGGGGTTTCAGGACTTGTGTGTAGGTGGCATAGAAAACAAGAGAAGGAAAGAAAACAGGAAGACAGAATCCAGGAGATGGACTGGAGCTATAGAGAAAGACACCAAGATACTTACCAGCCAAGAAGAAAGTAATAACACTCAGAGAACACACTGGAAACAGACTTTTAGAGTACTGTGATTAGGGACTGTTAAATGGATATCTCTGTTCATGAAAAGAATTAGTTCCAGTAACATACTTTATGTTCTAAAGCTTTGTCGATGGAAATAAAACACATAGAAATATAGCCCTGACCGAAAGGGTTATAGCAAGAAACCCCATTAAACATGAACTTCAAGGAAGAGGTACTAAAATCCAAATGTGTATCCAAGTGGGTTAGGATTAGGAAGCAGAGGAAGCCCCTGATCTCTACTGAAATATCCCAGAAAGAGGAGGCCTGCACGGCCTCGGGGCCTGGAAGCAGCCAGGCATGCAGACCCTGTCCTGCAGACCCCTGGGCAAGACTCCAGCTGCCAACTATCCTCAGAAAAGAAAAGACTCAGGGGGCGTATCTTGTTTGCCCACGCAATTGATTGGAGTGCTGCCTGGAGCACTGTTCTGTCAGGAGTTTTGAGGCACATCTGGCCTTAACAGGAACACGATCTGGCCTGGGTTAGTGCTGTCTGACTTAGGAAAAAGAGGACGAGAGGGTGTGTAGTCTCTGTGCAGAGGATCCTTCCTCATCCTTAGCCAAATCGGAAGTTCAGATCAGGTTAAAGAAGGCTTTTTGTAAGAGCAGCATAGCTGGACACAGTAGCTCATGCCTGTAATGCCAGCATGTAGGGATACCAAGACTGGAGGATTGCTAAGTCCAGGAGTTTGAGACCAGACTGAGCAACACAGTGAGACCTCGTCTCTACAAAAAATTTTTAAAAAATTAGCCAGGCATGATGACACATACCTGTTGTCTTAGCTACTCGGGAGGCTGAGGCAGAAGGATCACCTGAGCCCAGGAGGTTGAGGCTGTGGTGAACTGTGATTGTGCCACTGCCCTCCAGCCTGGGCAATAGAGTGAGATTCCAACTCAAAAAAAAAAAAAAAAAAAAAACGTGCTTCACAATGTCTTCCTTTCTACTTATCCACACTTGCAATTCTTTTAACAAAGAGCATTTAATTCTGCTATTAGAATAAAATGCTTTCAAGCGGAAAGTGATTTCCACTAAAACAAGAGTATCAGAGTATAATGTCATTTTTTGTAGACAGCAATTGGAGAGTAGACTGCTGGAGTTTGTGTAAGCAGAGGTGCAGAGTGGGCCTGCAGAGGCTCAGGCTTCCGTTCTGAGGCTGGGGAGGCTGCTAGGTGGAAGTGAACTTGAACGGGGGTGAAGGCCACAAGTAGTAGTCATAGATGAACAGATCCTAGCTATGTATGAGGGCCTATTAAATTATCAGTAGACCTCACTGGGAGAAATGAGCATTAAGAAGTCCACAGAGGACAGAAACCATGAATATGTGGCCAGAGCTCTCTATGCTAGGCAATGGCATATAGCTTTTAAGAATTTGGGGAAACTGAAGAGAGGGACTTTATAGCAATTGTAATAGGATACCTGAGGGGGAACAGCACAGGCAATGGAGTGGCTACATTCTAGGGACGAGCTGATAGATCCAAGACAGTACCGTTTGTTCAAAAAGTAGAGACCTGTCAGCCCAGGTTCTCATGACGTGTAAAAATCAACAGGTAACTGCCCAGATATGAAGAATAAGAGAACGATTGCAATTTTAAGTTTAGAATATATGCTCCCTATACCCAGAGGAACTCAAATCTTTCTACAAAAAAGATACCTGCATACACATGTTTATTGCAGCACTATTCACAATAGCAAAAACATGGAACCAATAGTGCTGCCCATCAAAACTGGACTGGATTTAAAAAATGTACATATACACAATGGAATATTACACAGCTATAAAGAAGGACAAGCATATGGACTTTGCAGCAACTTGGATGGATTTAGAGTCTATCATACTTCGTGATCTATCACAGAAATAAAGAACAGAGCACCACATGTTCTCACTCATAAGCGAACCCTGGACATTTACCATAATACTATAAGAAAGGGATTGGCAGTTGTGGGATACTGCTGGGGGTTAGGGGACACAACATCAGTAAGGGCACCTGATCTCAAACCAGGCAAAGTGGGGACCAAGAGGAGGCCCAGTTTTACCTATATGGTAACCACTTATATACCTAATCCTGAATTGTACCCCATATCTTTAGAATAAAATACAAATTACAAAAATATTCCCCCCAAATTTGGTGGTACTTTGTTGACAACAGGAAATTGGGCAGATAAATTATGTTGTTGTTGATGTCTACTTGTCTTATTCCATTTTCTGTTGCTATCACAGAATACTAGAGATTGGGTACTTTATAAGGAACAGATTATAGAGCTCACAGTTCTGGAGACTGGGAAGTCCAAGAGCATGGTTCTGGCAACCAGTGAGGGCCTTTTTGCTGCATCATGACATGGTGGAAGGCATCACATAACGAGAAGGCAAGGGCACGCTAGCCCAGTCTCTCCTGCTCTCGGTGCTCTCCACCGTCCCATCATGGAAACCTCACCCTGATGACCTTATCCAATCCTAATTACCTCCCAAGGCCTCCCCTCCAAATGCTGTCAGCATATACATTGGTAATTAAGTTTTCAGAATGTGAAATCTGGGGACACGTTCAAAACAAAGCACGACCTGGTGGTAAAGTCTTGGTCATCATCCTCCTCAAACCATTGGCACAATTTGCCCTAGGCAGTCTCTTCCTTTCTTCCTTTCTTCCTTCAGCATTCAGGATGCCGTATGTTCCCAGTTTCCTCCTCACCTCACTGACTTCCTTTCAGTCCCTTCCCTGGATTCTCCTCTTCTCCCCAGATTTTTGACATTGCAATGCCCCTGGTCCCTCCTTGGGACTTCTCTTCTAAGTCTACTTCTTCCTTTGTTGGTCTTCCCACTCCCCTAGCTTTAAATGACATCTACACCAGGGGTCCCCAAACCCCAAGCCACAGACAAGCACTGGTCTGTGGCCTGTGAGGGACCAGGCTGCATAGCAGGAAGTGAGTGGCAGGTGAGTGAGCGAAGCTTCATCTGTATTTACAACTGCTCCTCATTACTCTCATTACCACCTGAGCTCCACCTCCTGTCAGATCAGTGGCAGCATTAGATTCTCATAGGAGGGATTTAGGTTGCACACTCCTTCTGAGAATCTAATGCCTAATGATCTGAGGTAGAGCTCAGATGGTGATACTAGTGCTGGGGAGTGGCTGTAAATACAGATTCACATGAGCAGTGAGGTTGGACTGCACAGAGATCATCATAATTCAGTTGCTTGCAGACTCATATCAAAATAATAATTTCATCATATATTACAATGTAATAATAGAAATAAAGTGCACAATAAATGTAATGTGCTTGCATCATCCTGAAACCATCCCCAAACCCAGTTCATAGAAAAATTGTCTGTCACAAAACCTGTCCCTGATGCCTAAAAATCTGGGGGCCACTGATCTATGCTGCAGAATTTTGCACAGTCATTACAAAGCATGAATTAGAGCTACACCAGGTATGTTGGAAAGGTTTTTTCATAAGACACTGCTAGTGACAAATAAGAAAAGGACATTTTATGTCACTGGAGCCCATTTTTGCAAAGCAAGTTGGTGAGAACTAAAACCCAATATGTCCATGCCTGTATATGTATATATAAATCTGCATATGATTACATCCACATGTATACAAGTACAGAAATAAGCAGGCACAGTTGTTAGCATGGGTATTTGAGAGGAACGATGGGGGAGGCGGACAATGGACAAGGAGAGAAAGAGGCAGGAGGTGTCCATGACGGATATGATCCCCTGTGTGTGATGTTCACATGGGTATAAGTGTGTCTAATATGTGTGAAAAGTTGGTCACCAAAACATCATAGTTTTCTTAAGATGATAGAACTCCAAATACACTACTTCCTCCTTTATGTTTTTTTGTATGTGACTTGAATTCTTTCAAATATCATGCACGAGCAACTTGGATTGACCTAGAGGTTATAATACTGAGTGACCTATCACAGAAACAAAAAACCGAGTATCACATGTTCTTACTCATAAGCAGACTTTGAACAACTATCATCATACTATAAGAAAGGGACTGGCAGTAGAGGGAAACTGCCAGGGGAGGGCGGGGCCCACCTCATCAAAAAGGGTACCTGCATAATGAACATTTGTATACCTAACCCTGAATTGTACCCC